ATCCCAGCACTTTGGGAGGCCGAGGCAAGTGGATTGTCTGAGCCTGCAGGTTCGAGACCAGCCCGGGCAACTTGGCAAGACCTCGTGTCTACAATAAATAAAAAATTAGCCGGGCATGGTAGTGCACACCTGTAGTTCCGGCTACTTGGGAGACTGAGGTGGAAGGATCACCGGAGCCTAGCAAGACAACGACAGGGGTGGCCTTAAGTGTGCCACTGCACTCCAGCCTGGGCAACAGAGTGAGACTCCAACTCAGGAAAAAAAAAAAGTTTAAGAAAATCAGATTACACTCCAGCTACCAGAGAATGTTTTATAATCAGAGTCAAAAGATACTAGAAAACTGCTTTGTAAGCTGCAAATTTCTAAACAAATGCAAGACATTTTTTTTATTAGCAAATAGCTTGTCCTTTGGTTGCTTTGCTGTAGTTTCATGTGTGTGTTCGTCTCTCCTGGTCACAGTCTTTGTCCTCAGATTTGCTCCCTGGTGTCACTACCCACACAGTGGCTCAAGCCTCAAGTGCGGGGCCATGGGCAACCCCTCCCCTCCTCCCTCAGACCAAAACCATCAGCCCCTCCGTCACCTCGCCTCTGACGGTAGCCCCAACACCTCCACTGCGGTGTCCCGTCCACACCGCCACCTCCTTCTGGACCCTTGCAAGGCCCTTAACGCTTCCTCTGTTTCCACTTTTCCCTGCCCACACCCCAGAGCGATCTCGGTAAAACACACCCCTCTCTTGTTCTTGAAGTGTTTGATGTGTCTGCAGTGAGACATGATGTGTTTGCAGTGTTCGAGATGTTGTTTCAAGATTGTTAAACCCCGTTTTGCGATAGAACTCCATTTTGTTTGCTTAAACCCCTGCGTGGCTGACGCAACATTTTTAGTTTGCGTGTAAACAGCCCCCACCGCCCTGTACCCACCCAGAGCTCTCCCTTATTTGCAATGCACCCCTGCCTACCCTTACCTAACCCCAAAGCAGATGTTCTGTCTCTGTAAATGTCTCAGTTTGCCTATAAAAAGTACCCTGAAAATCTCACCTGGGGTCAAGAGACTTCGGTGGTGCAAGACCCCTCTCGACCGCCGGCAATAAAGGACTCATTATTGGACCCTTTGTCGTGTGGACAGTCTCTCTTCTCTAGACTTGGGTTACAACACTTTATTTTATTTTATTTTTATTTTTTTGAGTTGCAGTCTCACTCTGTCACCCAGACTGGAGTGCAGTGGCCGCTCCCGGCCACCGCAGCCTCGACCTGCTGGGCTCCGGCGATCCTTCCGCCTCAGCCTTCCGAGTAGCCGGAATTACCGGCACGCGCTACCACGCCCGGTTGATTTTTTGATTTATTGTAGAGATGAGGTCTCGCTGCCCAGGCGGGTGTCGAACCCATGGGCTCAGGCAATCCACTCACCTCAACCTCCCAAAGGTGCGGGATTACAGGCTGAGCCACCGAGCCCGGCGGGTCACAACACTTTAAACCCTCCACGGGGTTCCTGTGACAGAGAGATCGAGTCAAAGGACACAGCCTGGCTGGCAAGGCCTTGTGGTCCAGTACTACCCCCCTGCCCCATCCCTCTCACCCCCCACAGGCTTCCCTGACACGTGGCAAGCTCACTCCCCGCCCCAGCTCTTTCCAGATCCTTCCTCTGCTGAAGACACTGGGGCCCAGACCTCCAAGCAGCCAGATGCTTCCTGCCTTTCAGACGTCACTGTGGTGTCCCCTCCCCTGGGCCCTTGCCAGCTGCCAGCCAGGCAGCTCCTGGTGTCGCACTCTGCCACACGCCGAGTTTGGTCTTCTCTGGAGTGGTTTCCCAGCCTGCAACGATCTTGCTCGGTTATTTTCTTCCCCGCTGTTTATTGTCTAGCTCCGCATTTAGAACGGACACATCTTGAGGGCAGGGACCCATCCGTCTTGTTCACGCTGGACCCACGAGGGCCGGAACTGCACCTGGCACATAGGAGATGGAGTAGATATTTGGTGATTGGCCATCGCTCTGGCAGACACAAGCGTTAGCCCGGTTTGTAGATACTGGCAGCCCGCAGACAAGGACAAGCCTCCCTGTCCTTGTGGGAGAGGTCTGATTGACAAAATCAACCCGGCAGTTTCTACAAGGATACTCACCCCGGGGAGGAAACCAGAGTGCCCAGAGGGTGCCAAGGACACTAAGGCAGCAGCCCTGGGCATGTCTCCTGCATTCCACTTCAGGCAGACCCCAGGCCTGTTGCGTTGGGGCTGGCTTTGGGATTGCCCGGTAACTTTGCAAATTTGCTTCTGAGTGCCCTTGACTCGATCGAGGAGAGTAAGTAATTCCTTTATTTTGTGAATCACGTGTGTGGTTATAAAAAACCAGGTTCAAAAATAATTGTCCGAGCATGGCGGCACACGCCTATAGTCCCAGCTGCTCGGGAGGCTGAGGCAGAAGGATCGTCTGAGCCTGGGAGGTGGAGGCTGCACTGAGCCCTGATCATCGAGTGTACACCAACCTGGGCCCCAGAGTGAAAACCCAACTCAAAAATAAAACACAACAAAACCAAAAACAGGCCTGTCTTTGCCTTGGCATCTAGAACTGCCTGGTGTGTGATAGGTGCCCACAAACCTTTGCTGAGCAAACCGTATGGCTCTGCGGTGATTCTGGTCACCCCCAGGTGACAGGTTTGCTCCCTCCTCCCTTGGTGCAGAGAAGGCTTGGCGTGTCCTCACTTACCTTTCTTCTCATTCCCCCAGGTGGGCTTGAAGAGTCGCCATCGGAGAGCGGGCCAAACGCCACGACCCCTGACACCGGCGCCAGGGAGGCTCCAATGGGTAATATGAGGCCCACCAGGTCTCTGAGAACCTTTTTTTCTCTTTCCATTGTGGAAAAATAGCCATAGCATCAGATTCGCCGTTTTAACCATCTTAAAAAAGCGTACCACTGGGTGGCAGTGAGGCCAGGGACAGTGCTGTGTAGCCATCACCCCATCTTGTTCCAGATTTGTCATCGTCCCCAAAGGAGATCCTGTACCCACAAGCAGTCATTCTCCCTCCCTCCATGAAGTTAACAGCAAGCCAAAGGAAGCCTTCTTAAATGCCAGAATGAATACTGTGTTTCGAGGGCACTTGTGTAGAAATGAAGCAGAAATCATTACTTGCTTTATTTTGTGTTTTTGCTTTCATGCGATTTTATAGTTTTGTGTATACCCATGCATACATAAAACTTCACACACATTCACACAAATGCATACATGTGTTTTCCTCATGCCTTTTTTTTTTTTTTTTAAGTGTTATTGTTTTTTCTTTTTCCTTTAACTTGGCCACCTCCTTCGATTTTGCTTTCCACAAACCAGCCTCTGTACTTTCTGGGTCATGCTTGCTAATGACTCTGTGTGCCCGCTTTGTATTTTTCTCTGGGTGCATTTACTAACATATACACATATGCAGAGATACACGTATAAACATGAATACAGACGCTGGCTTTGCCATTGTTTTTAAAAATTAGGATCATGGCCAGGCATGGTGGCTCAAGCCCCTAATCCCAGCACTTTGGGAGACCGAGGCGAGAGGATTTCGAGAGCAACCTGGGCAAGTGGGTGAGACCTTGTCTCTACAGTCAATAAAAAAACTAGCCAGGTGTGGTAGCACACCCCTGTAGTTCCAGCTACTTGGAAGGCTGAGGAGGAAGGATCGCCAGAGCCCAGCAGGTCGAGGCTGCGGTGGCCATGATTGTGCCACTGTACTCCAACCTGGGCAACAGAGGGAGACGGAAAAAAATTAAATTAAATTAAAAAATGAAAATCAGTATCATATTCGACACGTCTTTTTTATGCGTCATGCTTTTCTCATCAGTACCTCATGGGCAAAATCCCTCCAAGGCACTAGTTATAATGTAAGTGTACTCCTTTTTTTTTTTTTTTAAATTAACTTTTAGAGACAAAGTTCTGCTCTGTCACCCAGGCTGGAGTGCAGTGGCACTGTAACCTTGGACTGCTGAGCTCAAGTGACCCTTACCCTCATCCTCCCGGGTAGCTGGGACTACAAGTGCATGCCACCAGGCTTGGCTAATTTTTGTGAATTAGTAGATTTTTTTGAATTTGTAGGTTCATTCACTTCATTCACCATATTGCCCAGGCTGGTCTTGAACTCCTGGCTTCACACAATCCTCCCGCCTTGGCCTCCCAAAGTGCTGGGATTCCAGGTGTGGGCCACCTTGCCCATCCCCAAATGTATTCTTTTCAATAGATATTCCTGGCATGGGTGAACCATAATTTTTTTTTTTTTTTTTTGAGTTGGAGTCTCACGCCATTGCCTAGGCTGGAGTTCAGTGGCACCCTCACGGCCACCCCAGTGTCGACCTGCTGGGCTCCAGCAATCCTTCTGCCTCAGCCTTCCAAGTAGCTGGAACCACAGGCGTGCACTACCACGTCCGGCTAATTTTTTGGTTTATTGTAGAGATGAGGTCTTACCAAGTTACCTAGGCTATTCTTGAACCTATGGGCTCAGGCAATCCCCTCACCTTGGCCTCCTAAAGTGCTGAGACTTTAGACTTGAGCCACTGCACCCGGCCGAACCATAATTTTTTAAATTGTCTCCTTATTATTACCTTTCAGTTCACTTCAGGCATTTACCATCCTGAACAATGCCTGCTGTAAACATTTCTGAACATATTTCCTTACACGCTTACTGTGTTTTTCTTTTTAATGTATTTATTTATTTTCCTTTTTTTGAGTTGGAGTCTCATTCGGTCTCCCAGACTGGAGGGCAGTGGCATGCTCCCAGCTACCACAGCCTGGACTTCCTGGGCTCAGGCGATTCTTCCTCCTCAGCATCGTGGGTAGCTGGGGCTATGGTGCACGCCACCACACCTGGCTAATTTTTTGATTGTTTGTAGAGGTGAGGTCTTGCCAAGTTGCCCAGTCTGGTCCTGAACCTTTGGTCTCAGGCAGTCCTCTCACCTCCACCTCCCAAAGTGCTGGGTTTAGTATATTGTTAATAGATGCTGCTAGACTATGTTTGAAATGGTGTAACAATTGCTATTTCCATAGCAACCTCCAAGTGTGCCCCTTCCCCGCAGCCTCAGTTGTGCTAGGTAGTATCCGTGCATTTAACAAGTAAACAACACCTTATTTTTCCCTCACTTGCGTTTCTCTGGCTGCTGGTGCCTTTGAACGTCTGTCCTACGTTTGTCAGCGGGACTCCCCTCTTCTTATCCTTTGCCCACTTTCCTCTTCCATTGCTGGTCCTCCTCAGTTTGGCTTCTTTTAGTGATAGATTCCTTTGTTTCTCCCACTCACCCCACAGCCGTTTGACAAATCTGCATCTGTTTCTTAGCTTCCCAGCTCATGGCTGGGACCATGTGCAGGCCTCTCTTTCGAATGTGTATTTTGGGCCGGGAATGGTGGCTCATGCTGGTAGGCCCAGCACTTTGGGAGGCTGAGGCAGGAGGATGGCTTGAGCCTAGGAATCCAAGACCAGCCTGGGCAACACAGCCTCCGTCTTTCCCTCTTCCATCCTGTCCCTCTGTCCTTTCCTCTTCTATTCCTTCCCTCCCTCCTCCCCTGTTCTGGTCTGTTGCTCCATCCTTCCCTGTTTTAACCCCTCCCCTGTCCCTCCCTCCTTCCCACCTGGTTCCTTCAGGACACGATTGATCATACACCAGCCTGGGCTGCCTTTTGCTTTTGTTTGAATGAAAGATAAGCCGGGCTCGGTGGCTCAGCCTGTAATCCCGCGCTTTGGGAGGCCGAGGTGAGTGGATTGCCTGAGCCTGCGGGTTCGAGACCCGCCTGGGCAACTTGGCGAGACCTCGTCTCTACAATAAATCAAAAAATTAGCTGGGTGTGGTAGCACACACCTGTAGTTCCAGCTACTCGGAAGGCTGAGGTGGAAGGATCGCCGGAGCCCAGCAGGTCGAGGTTGCGGTGGCCGGGAGCGGCCACTGCACTCCAGTCTGGGCGACAGAGTGAGACTCCAACTCAAAAAAAAAAAAAAAAAAGGTAAGACAAGTTGTGTCTGTCTCAGAGTCCCCTTTAATCACAAATGCCCCCCTCCCGGCCCTCCCAGAGATGGAGACCGAGACCCCCCAAGCAGCATAAAGGAGCTGAGGGCGTCTCAGTTCCTGGCATTATGTGACTCTTCTCAGCCCTGACGGTCGGGATTTGTGCCTCCAGCGTGGGGACGGGAATGGCTGAAATGTTCATTCCGCATCACCGCCGATCACTGGGTCAGAGCAGCCTCCCGCCCCTGGTGAGGAGGGTGCAGTGCGTTTCAGGGCTGGTGTGGGCTTGAGGAATGGTGCCTGCTGTGGCTCAGGGGTGGGGCTGTGACCGTTTGGCTAGAGCCCGCCTTCCAGAACCCTGTTCGGGAGAGAGAATGGACCCTTCACTTTCACTCACTGTCCCTAAAGCAAATCAGAGTGGAATCTGGTGGACCCGGAGGACGGACATCCCACAGGCTTGGGTGCAAATCCCCACTCAACGCTGGAATCCCCGATGTCACTCATGTCAGCGCAGCTGGGTGTGGCCACCGAGCCCCGAGGACTTCCGGTCCTTCTTTCCGCCTGGCCTGACCGCAGACCTTCATGGCCACGGTGGTGGCTCAGGTTGACCCTGCTCACCGTCGGTGTTTGACGGTCATGAGCTGAGTCACCACCACCCTGCGGCAGGAAGTGGGGCTTCATGGAGGACCTGGCTTGTCCAGAGCCAAAGGCAGCAAGTGGTGGCGTTTCTCTAAGTCCCCACCACCCCAGACCCCTTGATCCTAACCTTGGGGCTGCATCAGTGGCTCCCAAACTTCACCACGCTTTGTCATCACCTGGGGAGCTTTAGAAACTCCAGATGCCTCGGATCCACTCTGGGCCAATTGATTCTCGATCTCGGGCCGGGGAACAGACATCAGAACTGTTTAAAAGCTCCCCGGTGGGCTCTGGGGTGCAGCTGGATTTGCGAACAACTGTGCAGAATAACCTAGTCTTCCTTTTACGAAGGGGAGTGTTTGGGGATTGCCACAGGTGAGGTGCAAATTTGCCCGTCACCTTCGGGGTGAGGGTTACACAGATGGCTGGACTGTCGGAGTGTTTACCTCCAGAGCAGGAATGACCAGTTGTCATATCTAAAAACTGCAGTTCCTCGCTGGAGAAGGCTGGGACAGGCCTGGTCTGTGACATGGCTGCGCCTTCAGCTGGAGATGGAAGATTGAATATCAACAACTGCTCTGCTCCTTCAGAGAGGACAGGACTTACTCCCAGAGCCAGAGAATTTAAATGAGCTTTATCTCCCCTCCACCCCCAGCGTGTTAAATCCTGTCAGACTCCCCTGAGCTCCTCTTCAAATGCAGGACTTTTGGCCATAATAAATAATTACATCCTTCTATTTGGACTCCAATTCCAGATAGTAGTAATCCAAGAAAATCCAATAATGACAGTTGCATTAAGATCGTTCTTCCAGGCTAAGCAGAACATCTGTTTAGACATATTTTTAATCGGCAAATGCTTCCTGTGTTGAGTCCTCAGCAAATTAAATTTCTCACTGGACCAAAGGGGAGCTGTCATTCAATAGCCCATCTCTGGAAATGACACCCCCATCCCTTTCCAGGTGCACTTAAGACTTTCCCATGATGATTTGGCTGCATAACCCGGTCCTTACCATGCCAGAGTCACACATATCTACAGCACAGCTTGTCTGAGGGACACGGGATGTCTTGGTGTTATTCTCTTGAATAGAAAAATATTCTTGCCCATTCTCCAAAGGAGAGTTGGCAGCAGAGGAAAATTAAGAGACTTGTTGAAAACCATATGGGAAATGAATAACAAACTTCCACCACCGCCTGTGATT